TAAAAAAAGAATTTATAGCAGAACGTTACCAATAGGGCGATTGTGGTCGGCACCAATTAAGACTCCTCGAGCTTTGTTGTTGAAACCCCGATGAGGGGTTTTTGGAGAGCCATTCGCAGTCTCGGTCATGAAGAAGAAAAGCACCTTCAAGTATACCTGTAGAAGTGCATGGGGCGGGGATAGACCTGAGAGCGATGCTGGTTACGCCTCAAGATCACATTAGTCGCGTTACATACTTGAATGAAGCCTATGAAACTTTTTTCTTTGTCTAATTGAACAGGGCAGAGGTAGCTTCAGACAAAACTCTTTCAAGCTCATAATTTCCTATAAGCTTTCATCAAAAGTGCATGGAAGAAAGGACATGCTGACAATCGTCACGAGTTTGGATGGTTTATCGAGCTAATGAAGTAACGTCAATGGGAGTAATCACTTTATTCAGCTTTAGTAAGCTCCACTAATGCAAAAAAAGGAAATTGTGGGTTTTTAAGGATGCGTTGACGTCTAATGGGTTTCCAAAAAAAGCAGCGCCTTATCATTTCAGAATCATGCATCCCTTTTTGAAAAATCACGAAGTGGTTGAGTACTTTACAGATCCATCACGTACAGCATTATCTGACATTGTTCCAAAGATCTTGGTATACGGTGGACATTAAGAAGCTTCGATCATCGCATCTCAAACTCATTAAATTCTGTTTGCCATATTTGCTACGTGCCGTAGCGCATCGAACATTGAAAATGTCGGCTCACTAGGGCTCAGTCCAGACAATATCATGTTATACAGAGCGTGTATGCTCGACAACATCACAAAGTGGATTCTATGGCATAGGAATGAGAGAGAGAACTAACATTCAAAAATTAAGGCCTCAAAAGCCTCAAAAACATCTTTTAACGCGTTGAACTTTATGTTCAGCACATTTGGTGAAATTTTGGTACTTTAATGCCCGAATCTGTTTACTCTTGTTTGAAGACTTTATTTCAGCAAAGTGAGAAGAACCATGGGATTGGGAAATTCGTTTGCTTAAATACTATAAGTAGTGAGTAATGATGCGATTTACGCGAAAGCAGGAGGAATAGGATGAAGAAGATTCTAAAATATTTCTGAATAATGCATGAAGAATGTTGCAATATGGGTGAAGAATGAAGAATCTTCGTTAGATCCAGCAAAACGCAAAGGTTGTATGTGAAAAAAGTAGGAAGTTTAATAGTCATTGTTTACTCGGGAACCAGAAGGAACGACAAGGACTCATTTTAGTTTCATCTCTGTTTCTAAGTCCAAATAAATTGATTTCCCGTAAATTGAATTTAATCTATCAAGTATCTACTCCCACAAGACAAAATTGCTTCAGTAGTTTTATTATACACGTGCAAAATTTGCCTAAGGCTTACAGTGCTTAACCGTCGACTTTGGATTCATTTTCTGGGCTTTGATAGTTCTATAATTTTTTTTCTAAGCCGATAATTGGTAGATATCTAACTGATATATATCCATCCAAATTCTAAATGAAAATTTTTCAAAAGCCTAAGCTGTGTCTGGACATTGAAAATCTTTTATTGAAGAAGTGAATTCTTTATGAGGTAGAACGACAGGCTCTTTCTATGTATGTCTGTCCCATTAAACTAATATCATAGAAAGTGTGCTTCCAATTAATTGTAGACTTTAGTACAACCTCATGAGCAATAGGGTTTCAGGGCAACTCTGACACTAGAAACAACGCGTTAATAGACTGTTACGATGGCGACAAACACAAATCGCGCAAATGCATATTGATAAGAGAGAAGGCACGCATTTGATGGGGATGCATTCAGGGATTATCCATTGAGAATGCTGCATGGAATATGGACGAACAGCGTCGATTCCATTATCGTAATGTTAAAAAAGGGAAATATCTTATGCGGATGTCTGGAGAATCATTTCAGC